CATATCACTATACCCATCCTAATCCTGGCAGTCAAAAAAAAATCTGTTAAATTTTGCTCACCAGCATCCACTGCAGATGTGTGTATGTGGAACAGCTGCTCTTGATGAGCAAAGCTTCAAATGCATAGGCACGTTGATTACTGATCTCTATTGCAGCATAACCTCCTTTCTGGGAAAAGTGGATAGCAATGATTTTCTCTCCCTATCCATAATACAAAAACTTGGAATCGCCTAAAGAAATTGGTAATCAGTAGAGTTCAGACAAACAAAATAAAGTGCGTCTCCACACAACACATAATTAATTTATAGAAATTGCCTCCACAAGATGTAGTGATGGCTGTTAGTTTAGACCCTTTTTTCATGTTCAGACTGATCTGTGGGTCTGCTCCTTTTTTATGTGGTAAGGTTGTTTACATAAATATTTCACTGATCTCTGTACAGGGTTTCCTTTCTGGGATAGAATGTGGGGGAGTGATTAGTTGCAGGCTGATTGACCTCAATGGACATAGATTGTAACTCTGTTTAGAACTGCTTTATAAATTGAGAAAAGCCACTGGGTGATATTGAGCCAGACATTTTCTCCCAGCCTAACCTATGTGGGTGTTATGATAGTAAAAGGATGAGACACATTAACTGAATCCACATGGGTTTTTTAATCGGGTATTCTTTACCTACAGGCATTTCTACTGAAATGTGGGGGAAACTTCTTTACTCTTCTTTGCCTTTAATGTGGCAAAGAAGACAATGAATTTGGATCCAGGAATGAGATAAAACTTAAGGGTATTTGCTGAAAGAGGAAGTGGGAACAGACCATGACTGATTGGAGAAGAGGGAGGGGATCAGAATAGTGCAGCCGATAGGGAAAAAAAGAACAACTATATCGAAAGGGCCCACAGAAAACTGATGCATGTGGTTCACCGTTACCACTGGATAAGCCAAGGCGAAGGAGTCAAGTGACTCTCATGTGTAAAAGGGAATAGAAAAATTAATTGAAAATCAGTTCTAACAGTAGTGGATAAAGAGAAATTCCGGACTCTATAGTAAAAACTTGATAGTCTTCAAGATGCCCTAAGACTATTTTTGCTGCAGAAAATTAACAAAAGTACTCCTCTGCTATCAGAGCTAGTATAACACCTCTTGAGAGCATACAGGTAGCCACTAAAAGACTAAAAGGAGCTTTGTCTAATCCAACAGGGCTCTTTCTGGGATAGAATGTGTGGGAGTGATTAGCTGCAGGCTGATTGACCTCGATGGAAATAGATTGTAACTCTTTTTAGGATTGCTTTATAAATTGAGAAAAGCCACTAGGTGAGTTTATGCCAGACATTCTCACTCAGTGAAGCAATAGAAAAACAAAACATCAAATTCTGATTTCCTTGTATAACTTGTTGGTTTTTCCATGCCTTGTATAACACATAAAAGGTTTTGTTACCCACCTCAGAGATAGAACTGGGTTAGTCACACTGTGATTCTCCAAAGTGACTAATCAATCAACCAACTGTGCCAAATAAATATTGCAGTTCCTCAACATAGCACTGTGTATTAATTGCATTCCCTGGGGGCTAAGAAAGGAGTGAGGGCAAAGGGGTACATAACAAGCAGACTACATTGACTGGAGGGGAAAAACAGCCACAGCTTTTATTTAATACAATCACAGAAGCACAGATGCTACATAAGGCATGGATCCACACATCGGGCGACCTGCCTGTTAGCCAATGGAGGAATAATGTGGGATGGCAAATCCAGGGGTCCCGCTACCTCCTGGTTAGAGCCAAGTGCCAGCCTCCAAGCTGGGCATAACATGAAATTGTCCCACTCATATGACCCCTTATGGGGTCCCCAGACCAGGGGAGACAGGCATGCGGGCTCAGCTTCCCCATAAAATTGGGTATGGCCTGATGCCCAAACCACCACAGAGATGGGTGACAGCCCAGCTCCTGCCAGTAGTTCTATGACCACACTCAAGAAAGCAGGTCATTGTGGATGCTGTGAAGCTAATCATCCTGACCCCGTTCTGAGAGGTGCATGCTATCTGCCCAAAAGCGGACTGTCTGACTGAAGGAAACGTCCAGGTGCTGTATGATGGGGCTACCAAGTGATTCTGTGAGCTGGCTGCCCAGCCACACTGCTCACTTCCTGACTTGTCACATTGACCCTATCCACGGAAGTAGCTCCACACCATTCACGCTGCTCCAGCAACATGGACGAGAAGAGCAGCATGTCCAGGAATCAGGGAACAAGAAAACACAAGTCTGTGTCCATGGCCAACCATAGTTCCACCCCTTTCCTACTAGTAAGGTCATTTTTGCCAAG